AGTTTGGGTCAGTAAGATTTTTTTTCTTTTTTGAAAAAAAATAATACTTTTATTAAGCAAGGACAAATAAAATAGATCTAAAATGACATCAAAGACATTTTAAGGATACAAAAGATTTCTACTTCAAATAAAGGCTGTTCTTTTGAACTTTCTATTCACCAAAATATCATGAAAAGAATACACTTTAAAATATATTAAAATAAGAATAATATTTTACCATATTGCTATTTTTAATGTATTTTTTAAATCAAGTAAATGCAGCATCGGGGACTATGAGAGACTTCTTTCAAAAACATTTCAAAAATCTTACTGACACCAAAATTTAGAACAGTAGCGTATATATTTGATCTATATATGTTTTTTTTTTTCTTTGCTGCATCTATGTTTATTATGTTAGTATTAAATAATCAATGCATTCATGTTTGTCTTGGATGATTTGCTGAGTTTAGTGCAATCATGAGACCATTTTCAACTTATGTGACTGTGTTTTTGTCACCATTAGTCTCAGCGATCTCAGACTGAAGCAGTTACGTTTCTGGCCAATCATGATGATAGCAGGGCCCTGTATGCAATTCCAGGTAAACTCTTGTGATCAGTCACTTAAAGATTCAATTATATAGTGGGCAGCATTTTTTTTTTATTTTTATAAAAGTTCCATTATCTGTCGGTTGTGTTTTACTCATCCTGTTCATTTCTTCCTCGTCTGCTTGTGTCTTTCAGGTCTGGATTATGTGAGTCATGAAGACATCCTGCCTTACAACTCCACTGAGCAAGTTCCTATCCAGCATGAGTTGTTTGAACGCTTCCTCATGTTTAACCCCTCCAGAAGTAACTAGTCCACTTATACTTTTGCAACAGTATTCAAACCTTTACTGATAAAATCTTTCTTATGGATTGCATTTATACTGTTTATTTAGATCCTCTGTTTACTGCAAGAGACACCCTACGGGCCTGGCAGGAGAAGAACCACCCCTGGCTGGAGCTCTCAGATGTGCACCGCGAAACCACAGAGAACATCCGTGTCACTGTCATCCCCTTCTACATGGGCATGAGAGTAAGAACAGAGGGTTGCTATGTGTTGCAAGTTTCTTATTGCAGGTTGCAGTAAACTTACTAAATGCATACATTATAAAGTATTACAGACCTTAGTCAGGATAGCGCCATAATTAATTTTTGACAGGAATGAAAAGAGGCTGTGAGGGATAGAAGTTCAGTGGACTGTGCTGTTGTTTAACAACATACCATTGTTTAGCTGATAAAATCTCTTTCCTAAAAAAAAATCTTTCAGAAGCAAAAACATGATTAGACAGTTTTAAAAGTTATGAGTTGAGAAATGTATGATATAGGACCTTTATATAGTGTGTTCCATTGTAAAGGCTGTAAGTCTATCCCTCACAGCCATGTTTTCATTTGCGTTAAATTCAATATGGCGTCTAACCGGATTAAGGTCTATACACTATTTTTGAAAAGTTTGGGTTCTGTAAATTTTTTAATGATCTTCTATGCTCACCAAGGCTGCATTTATTTGATCAGATATTATTACAATACATTGTTAAAAAAGTAATTTATTACTCTTAAACAATGTATTGTGATGGCAAAGCTGAATTTGATCATTACTCCAGTCTTCAGTGTCAAATGTTCTTTCAGAAATCAGTCTAATTTGTTGATGAAGATACATTTCTTATTGATGTTAAAAAACAGTTATGCTACATAATATTTTTGTAGAAACCATATGTTTTTTCAGGATTCTTTGATGAACAGAAAGTTCAAAAGAACAGCGATTATTTGAAATTTGAAATCTTTTGTATCATTATAAATGTCTTTACTGTCAGTTTTGATCAATTTGATGCATGCTTGCTGAAGAGAAGCATTGTTTATGTATAATTTTAATTTATATATAATATGTATGGAAGTAAAATGAATGTAACTCGTGGTCTTGATTTTGACTTGTTTTTGTATGTCAACAGGAGGCTCAAAACTCCCACGTGTATTGGGTAGGCAAAATTACCTAATTATGTTTTTTTTATAATAACTCAATAAAAGTGTTATATATAGAATGGTCATTGGTGACCTGTTAGAGACAATATGTTAATGTTTTCCTCAGTGGCGGTACTGCATCCGTCTGGAGAACCTGGGCAATGAGTTGGTTCAACTCAGGGAAAGACACTGGAGGATCTTCAGTCTCTCAGGGACTCTGGAAACAGTCCGTGGCAGAGGAGTGGTTGGCAAGGTTATTAATTAGCAAAAGCATAATCCAGAATAAAAAACTATGGAAAAAATGATTTGTTTGCTGAATGCAATCCGTCATTATCTCACCAGGAACCTGTTTAGGCAAAATTACCTAATTATGTTTTTTTATAATAACTCAATAAAAGTGTTATATATAGAATGGTCATTGGTGACCTGTTAGAGATAATATGTTAATGTTTTCCTCAGTGGCGGTACTGCATCCGTCTGGAGAACCTGGGCAATGAGTTGGTTCAACTCAGGGAAAGACACTGGAGGATCTTCAGTCTCTCAGGGACTCTGGAAACAGTCCGTGGCAGAGGAGTGGTTGGCAAGGTTATTAATTAGCAAAAGCATAATCCAGAATAAAAAACTATGGAAAAAATGATTTGTTTGCTGAATGCAATCCGTCATTATCTCACCAGGAACCTGTTTTGTCAAGAGAACAGCCAGCATTTCAATACAGCAGTCATGTTTCACTTCAAGCACCCAGTGGACACATGTGGTGAGATTATCAACGTACTCTTACAACCATGCTAACTGTAATTTTTTTTTAAATCATGTAGACAGGAAATGTGTTCCACCTGTTAGACTGGATGGCTGAATGATTGTTTTTGGTGTGTCTGATGTGATGTACGTTCTATTTTTCACTCAGCTATGTTGTGTTTAAATAATGACGCATGAACATCACGTTTTGTTTCCGTGTTTAGGGGGACATTCTGTTTTGAGAGGACAGATGGCTCACACTTTGATGTGCGCATTCCACCTTTTTCACTTGAGAGCAATAAGTATGACAAAGCTCCCCCTACTGGCTATCCCTTGTAATAGACCTGTACCTATGGGCCTACCTCAGCTCAGCATCTCTACAGGCTGTTCCCTTGGAGATCCACGTTTTACCTTCCTTATCAGTGCTCCTTGAATATACAATGGTTTTAGTAAAGCATCTTTCCGTTTCTGAATGCAGCACTGAATATTTGTAGCAACTGCATATCTTAAAAGGAAAAAAAGGAATCGCAAGTTGAAATGAGGAGTTGATCTTATTAAATGGTGTGATGCAAGTGTGCGATGGGGACATGGCCAACTGATTCTTTCAAACTCTTGCATCTCGAAAGGCCGTATTGAGAGAATTTGAATGTGATTTTTTTTTTTTCTATTTATTTGTTATCTTTAAGTTTAAACCCCTTTTATAATGAATTCCTTACTTATATTCTGGAGAAGACAGTCGGTGGACATTCTCCAAATGTGTTTTCTCCAAATGCAAATAGTCTACTTAATGGCTTGCTGCAAAGATTATTCTAAGGCCCCGCCAAAGTCAGCCAGTGAAATGTGGTTTGACTAAGAAATAACTGTATTAGAGATCATCATCTTGAAACCAACCTTTGATCATATATTTGGATTAAACTACTGGATGATGAGCCGCTTTACTGTTTACTGTAAATATGTTTGTAAAAGCATAAATAAAATGACATTTCCAATTTCCTGTTTTCTTATTATGATTGATATGGTATTCCAATAGCTGCTGCTCTCTACAAATAAATGACTTGAAAGAGGATCAATATGTCAGGTCAGTTACTTACTTTACATTTTACATTTTCTATGTGATATATTTACCTTAAATAATATTTCTTAGAACATTCAAAGGAATAGTTAACCCAAAAATAAAAATTTACCATCTGAAATGTAGAAAAATTCTTCATCACAGATTTGGATTTGGATGAAATTTACCAATGGATCCTCTGCATTGAATGGATGCCAGAGTCCAAACAGCTGATGAAAATGTCACCGTAATCCACACGACTCCAGTCTATCAGTTAACGTCCTGTGACGCAATAAGCTGTGTGTTTATAATAATCAAATCCATCATTACGGTGTTTTTCATTTCAAAGTGTTGCTTCCAATGTCCACAATATTGCTTTCTCCAGTGAAAAGTTGTCTCATCTGAATCAATAGAGAAATATGCACAGATCAAGCACCATTTACAAACAAAAACTGTTCTGAACAAATATTTTGTTGGATTTTGTTGTGAGAGGACAACAGGAACTAGACTTTTTCACTGGAGCACATTATAGATTATGGACTGGTATTTTAGCAAGAAGTGATGATTTAAAGTTAAAATGCTTTTGTGATGGCTTTGTTTCTTAATAACACAGCTTTTCACTTCACAAGATGTTAACTGATGGACTGGAGCCATGTGGACTATTGTGATGTTTTTATCAGCTGTTTGGACTCTCATTCTGACGGCACCCATTCACTGCAGAGGATCCATTGCTGACCAAGTGATGTAATGCTAAATTTCACCAAATCTGTTCTGGTGGACAAACAAACTCATCTACATCTTGAATGACCTGAGCCTGAGTACACACAAATTGTAATTTTGGGTGAACTATTCCTTTAAGTGTTTTATAACTTCTTCAATACCAAATTTTCCTTATAAGAACAAAAAAAATTGCAGCAGATGACATGCCATGTGTTAAACACCAGATGTCAGCAAAGAAAGGCTAACTATTAACGTAGTGCACAAGTCAATGATAAAAAAATAACTTGAGGAGAATCTATGACTACGAATATACAGGGATATGCCCAAACGTATGAATGATTCTTTCATTTCCTTTAAAGTACTGAAATTCCTCCTATAGTGCAGAACTGGAGCAGTCCCAATAGCGACCATCTGCTCCACTTGGTTTACTGTACCAGCAGTGGTGCATTCTCGACTATAGATTGAAACACAAGTGGAGGATGTTGCAGACCGCTCCACCCCTCCCACACAGCCTGTGTCCAGACCCAGCGCCTCTCCGCTCCATCTGAGTGATGAGAGACCGTTCAACTGCTCTCCTCTGAACACACCCTACCCTCAGACGGGACACACCTGGGGAGAGGTCATATCAAAGCGGGAATTAATTCGACATGGCACATTTTAGCAGTGAACAGTGATATTCCTGCGGGCTGCGTGGAAGAAAATACTGGAATGACTTGTGCGCGGAGGAAAACAGTGACGGACGACGTAAATATTTACATGCCCTTGCTCACAGCAGTACTGCTCGCCATCGACTAAACTCATCGTGTGTGTATGAGAGACTGCAGAGGAACTGCGATGTTAAACACGCACTAATAACGACTGAAATAAAAATACGGGAGGAAAACGAATCATCCTTCCGTAAGGTCGTGCTAGAATTCTGTTGAACCGGACTGTGAGAGTTTCGTGAGGTTTGCGGGACTGATCTTTAATCTGCGGTCATGCCGCAGGCTTCATCAGACCTGTTCCCTACCTGAGGGAATCGAGGATTACTTGAGTTTTTGACAGAAGAGATAAATTATGACCTAATTGGGCTGAAATACGAGTAGTTTGGAATGAAACACGTTTTGCCGCCTTATAAAAATTCCTAATAATTTTGCGCGTGCAAAGGAGGATTCTAAAGAGTAAACAAGCGTCGTTACATGTGTCACATGTGAAGGATGTGAAAGTTGAACGTTATGTGTGGTAAAGCACAGTTTTGGTGGGAAATTGGATGAGAAATGTGCGCAGCGGAGTCAACTTTTTAAGTAATTTTCTGAGCGTAATCGGTTCGTTTCGCGCAACCCTAACGATCTTTTTGCGCCCCTAGCGCGATTAACCGTTAAGACGTTTTAAACAAAACAAAACTATTTTTGTGACATATTTGTGATGTGTATATCCATGGTAATGTGAGAAATAACGACAGTACAGTGTTTTATTGATGCACACCGCCCGATACAAACATCGATCGAGCAGCTGTTGCTATGGTTACCTATGCAGAGGCGTTTTCTGTTGGCGATTGTAACTTTTGTGGTTACTGAAATGTTGTTCGAACGCTGTTGAAACGTATAAATGCTTATGTAAAAATACATTTTTAAGACCCCCAACTTTTCTTTAGGGTGATTCATGCCTTAATTAGGGGGTTTGACAAACCTCCCCCATAATTTACACCCTGCGAATGAGCACTTTGTGAAAAAGATTTTACTGAAATACCATTGGATGCAAGTTTTTATAATTTTATTATATAAATTCACATTGATCTTAATGTAAGTATATTTTCTCTGCCAGGTGAGAGATGACAGGTGTACGGTGAGCAGAACGAATTTTAAAACACTGTTCTCCAATAAACTTTATAGGAACGCTAAGGCTTATTTCTTATTTTCATTCATTTCTTACTAAATGTAATCTCACATACAGTTAAAAGACTTTTAATAGTTAAATGTGAAATCATTTTGAAAGTATGCCCAGTCTGGAGGACCTTTTCCAGGGTGAAAATCTGTAACCAAACATGGGAGCGAAGCAAACAAAGGCTGCAGGACAGGAGGCAGGATCGAGCCCTCAGAGCACGGGATGGAAACGGACCCCCACGAAAGAGCGAGGAGACATCCTTACTTCTATAATGTTGAGGTCAGGAGACAGACTGAGGAGCTGCGGGACTCCTCCTCCCTACCAGCGGCGCATCGGCATGATACAAGAGATGATGCTGATGGCAAAGCAGGGGAAACACGATGAGGCGACAGAGATGCTGAAGACTCTCCGGCAGGTACAAATAGCACTCCATGTTTCTTGTATAGGTTAGATTAAAACTCAAATAAAGGAAGAAAGTTGTCAGACTTCTCTCTCTGATGAGTTCTTGTCTACCACAAGTTGAATGTCAGCCCTGTTATCCATTAGTGTACCTGTCAACTTTTCTCAAACAGCACTTGAAGAGCTTTTGTGACAAAATATTGTCCTGTAATGTCCAAACGGCAAGAAATCAAATCACTAATATTATAAATTAGGGGTCGACCGATTATCGGCGCCGATATTAAGCTTTTTCTGCATTTTCAAAACCAATTTGCCGATAAAATAATTTAAAAGCATTTATAAAAAGTTTTTGTCAGAGCCCTTATTATTTAATGTAATTAATTTTGACATTCATTTTCCTCTCTGATGAGTTCTTGTGTACCACAAGTTGAATGTCAGCCCTGTTATCCATTAGTGTACCTGTCAACTTTTCTCAAACAGCACTTGAAGAGCTTTTGTGACAAAATATTGTCCTGTAATGTCCAAATGGCAAGAAATCAAATCACTAATATTATAAATTAGGGGTCGACCGATTATCGGTGCCGATATTAAGCTTTTTCTGCATTTTCAAAACCAATTTGCCGATAAAATAATTTAAAAGCATTTTTAAAAAGTTTTTGTCAGAGCCCTTATTATTTAATGTAATTAATTTTGACATTCATTTTCATTTTTACACCAGACATATATATCGGTTCAAAATATCAGTTATCGGTCTACTTTATCTGTAATAATCAATATCGGCATTGGCTCTGAAAAACACATATCAGTCGACCCCTATAAGAAATGATGTTCACTCTGGTATCTAGCCTATATAAATTTGACTTCTGCAGCTTTTTGTTTGCATATGTTGGACCACCGTGGGCCTCTCAATTGGTAAACAGAGGCCCCAAAACATTGGACTCATTGGCCTGATTTGTAATCTGTGCCCCATGCAGAAATCCCACTTTTCTTTACAGCAGAGAGAATCATTTGTTGCAATTGGGCTAAAATGTCAGTCCAACACTGGTCTGGTGTTATTTTGTAAGCTGTTGAAAGACATAAACTCTTCCTTCAAAACACATCATTACTGTCAGATTTTATACAGCTCTGATACAGACATATCTGAGATACAACAAGACTCCTGGCTGCAATAGTATCCCAGCTCTTTAGATTCTGCATTTCACAGAATTCAGTGCTATTAAGACAGATGCCCATTTTACAGTCCTGTGAAAATGTGAGAACAGACAGAGCTCAAGCTGGCTGAAAAGTAATACTGCACTGCATAAACACCAACTGTTTACGTTGGGTAGTGATTATGGATGCTGTCAGTAAGTGCAGTGCTCTTCTTTATATCTAATGGCTGTCTCAGATTGATAGTAACTCTGTTTGTCTCAGTACCAGTAATATCAGGTTAGTGTAGATGGGAATATGCGACCAGAACTCTCCCCATTACTATATTGTGATCCAGCTTTCAGCAGGGATCAAAGACCGAGTTAATGGGGATTTCTAATCCTCCATAAATTGTAAATGAATTGTTGGGTGGCTGCTGAACAAACTGCAGGATTTGTTCTCAAAAGGACATTGTGAAAAAGAAGTACACTTATGGAAATAATATACTTTAAAATAATAATATATTTAAAAGATACTTAAAGGGTTAATTCACCTAAAAATGAAAATTAGCCTGTGTTTTACTCCTCCCTCAAAGCATCCTAGGTGTATGTGACTTTCTTCTTTCAGATGAATCCAGTCGGAGTTATATTAAAAATTGTCCTGCCCCTCCAAGCCTTTCAATGGGGGTAAGCGGGTGTTTGTTGTCAACAGTTCAGAAGACGTGAAATAAAGTGCGCGCATCCGTAATAAAACGTCCCTCACACAGCTCCGGGGGGTGAATAAAGGCCTCCTGTAGCGAATCCATGCGTTTTTGGAGGATAAATATCCATATTTCAAATTTAATAAACACTTTTTTCTCACTTCCGCTGAGTGGACAGTGTTGGGCAAGTTACTTCCAAAATGTAATGCATTATATATTATTAGTTACTGTCTTTTGAAAGTAATTAGTTACATTACAATATTACTGTCTCTGAATTGTAATGCGTTACACTACTTTTGAGTTACTTTTACCAAAATATCCACATTAGTATTATAAAATGCCAAAATGTAGCTTATTGCTGCTCATTCTACATCCAGTGGAGGGTAATGTGGTAGGTCTATATAGCATAAAATTATAAAATCATATTTAGATACCGGTAT